CCCCCTCCTCCTCCTCTTCTTTTTTTTCTTCTTCTTTTTCCTCTTCCTCTTCTTCGTCTTCTTCTTTTTTTTCTGAGATAGGGTTTTTCTGTATAACCCTGGCTCTTCTAGAACTCATTCCATAGACCAGGCTGCCTCTGCCTCCCAAGTGCTGGAAATAAAGGTGTGCACCACCACGCCTGCCTTGAAGCCAGCAAATTCTAAAAATCAGTACCTTTTTTCTTTGCGGAGAACATCTTAAATACTCACCATTACTTTCTGTTTCAGGACAAGGTTTCGAACAAAGAATAGACAGGAAAAGGATGAAACAAAGGACCACGGCATGTTGCTTTAAGTAGTTATTCTTAGAAAGTGAGCAACATTTTAATAATCAGCTTAATTCTACTAAACGCTACACGCTTTGTTCTGTGATAAAAATAAGACCCACAGTTCATCTTGCATTAGTTGCTGCAATTGACTGTGGTTCATACCCCCAGACCGATGCTTAAAACAATAAAAACATTTTTTTCACACATCTACAGTCAAGAAATCCAGAAGCAAGGGGTCAGAGCTTATAAGAAACCGAAGGGTTTGCTGTGAGCTGGAGACCAGCCTGGGCTCCAATCCTAGTTTGGTTTCTATTGCTGTGGTAAGAAACCATGATCCAAAGCAACATGGACAGGAGAGGCTTACGCATCCAGAGACATCGTCCTTCCCAATGAGAGAAACGGAGGCATGAACTGAAGCAGAAGCCACAGGAGGGTGATGTTTATTGACTTGCTCTTCGCGGCTTGCTCAGCCTGCTTTCTTAGACCATCAAGGCACCGTCCATAGCGAGCTCTGCCCTCCCACATCGGTCATTACGCCAGAAAATTCCCGGCGGACTTGTACCCACGCAGTGTGACGGAGGCATTTTATCCCTTAAGGTTCTTCTTCATAGATGACTATACCCTGGGTCAACTTGACAAAAACCCAACCCGGACAGCTACAGAGCGGGTGAAAAATCGCTTAAGGTGCCTTCTAGAGTCCAGCAAGACCGGGGCTTTGGGAAAAGAGCCCTTCTTTGTTTATTGTAGCTTCATGTGTCGGCTGTCACTCATCTGTACCTCCACCGTCACACAGCGATTTCAGCTGATCTTTATGTGTTGGATAGTTGTCACTGGATGTGGACAGAGGGTCCCAGTGACCTTCATTCAAGTTTCTATCTTTCACTCTCTCTTGAGACTGGGTTTTGCTACATATTCCAGGCTAACTTTGAATTCACTAAGTAGTCTAGACAGACTACTCAGAGCAATCCTCCTGCCCCAGACTTCTGGTGTTAGGAGTATAGGAAAGATGTTATTATGACCTGCTTTAAAATTTTGAAATTGCAGCTACAACCCCATTTCCCCTAAAATAAAGTCGCATTCTTTGAGGATAGGACTTGAATTCACACATTCTATCACTGAGCCATACTCCTTATGTGGAATTATATTTTATGGCCAATGAAATGCATCTTTTTTTGGAGGGAGGGTTTCAAGACAGGGTTTCTCTGTGTAGTCCTGACTGTCTTGGAACTCTGTGTAGACCAGACTGGCCTCAAATTCACAGAGATCCTCCTGCATCTGGCTTCCAAAGTGCTGGGATTAAAGGTGTTAGCTACCACTACTCAGCAAAATGCATTGATTTTATCAAGCGACAAACTGTTTATTGCACACGATGATGATTACATAGTAAGACATTAGATTCTGATTTTACTAATCTGTCGTGCTAAATGTTTAAATAATTTTTTTTTTCAGTTACCAGCCAGTAGTTGACTACTTGGATGCTCAGTTTGAGGCATATCTCCAGGAGGAGTTGAAGATCAAGCGTTCCCTGGTGGACTATAACGATTCCCGTATCCATGTGTGCCTTTACTTCATCGCGCCTACAGGACACTCCCTCAAGTCCCTGGACCTGATGACGATGAAGAACATTGACAGGAGGGTGTGTTCCTAAACCGTCAGTCTTTCATGGTCCGGTGGATGTTTTGAGATGACAGCATGTTGCGAAGCATTTATATGCAACTGTCTATTATTTTAGAATATGTGCATATATTTAAATATTTTTTGTTGCTCTTGAAAGCATTTGACTGAATTTTCTAGGGCATTCCTAAAACCATGTCATAGAGTGGATGGTTTAAACAATTAAAAAAATCATTTTTCATGTAGTCCTGGAATCTAGGAAATCAAGGCGTAAGCATTTATCTTCTTAATCTGCAGGTGGCTACGTCTTCCCTTTTTCTCACATGGCCGATCTACTGGTGTCTGTATGGACAACATTCTTTTTTTTCTTTTTTAGACAGGGTCTTTTGTAGCGCAGGCTGGCCTTGAACTTGATATGTACCTGAGGTTGACCTTCACCTCCTGATTTTCTTGCCTTAGTTTTTACAGAGTTGAGATTAGGGGTATGCATCGCTACTGTAGGCCACATTTCTCCTTCTTATAAGGTTGGTAACCAAACTGGGTCAGACCCCATTATAACAGTCTAACTTTAATTTAAAATTTCCATCTGCAAGTACTGATATGCTCTGAGACATTGACGGTTATCAATATATAAAATACAGAGGAGGGAAATTTTAATGTTTGATAGAATCTCATCTTTAGCTAGCATTCCAGGCAAACTTAATAAAAACAATAACTGCTTGGTGATTGGTGTGGTGATGCATGCCTGTAATCTCAGGACTTAAGGGGATGAGGCAGGGGGACGGTTGTGAGGTTGAGGCAAACCTGGACTACATAGTCTTCAGGCAGCCTGCATTGCAGGGTGAGACCATGTCTTAAAAAATCAGCAATAAGCTGGGCAGTCGGGAGGCAGAGGCAGGCGGATCTCTGTGAGTTGGAGGCCAGCCTGGTCTACAAGAGCTAGTTCCAGGACAGGCTCCAAAGTCACAGAGAAACCCTGTCTCAAAAAAAAAATCAGCAATAACTGAAAAAAAAATAACCAAAAATAACTGAAAAACCAACAGCTCCCCAATTTTTTCCCATCTGGAGAGAGGTATAGGAAAAACACTAAAATAAAACTCGAAAAAAAATCTTTTTGCTTTTGTATTTTTGAGAGAGCATTTCTCTGTGTAGCCCTGACTGTCCGGGAACTCAGCAGGCTGACCTTCGACTCAGAGATCCACCTGCTGCTACCTCCCAAGTGCTGGAATTAAAGGCATGCATCACCACTGCTAGGCTAAAACTTGAATTTTTTTCTGTGACTAAATTCTAATCAGATTAGCACATGCCTATCTATGATCCCAGCAGAGGCAGGTGGGTCTCTATGAATTCAAGGCCAGCCTGGTTTATAAAGCTAGTTCCAGGACAGTCAAGACTACAACTACACAGAGAAAACCTGTCTTGAAAAACTTAAAAAAAAAGAAAGAAAAGAAAAATTCTAATCAGATCACAGCCATTTGTATATAATTGAAAATTGAATCTACTGCATGACTCTATAAGACAATCCTATGAATCTTTGGCTGGCATCACTGATACAATGAAACACGAAACTTTTCTGGTTCTGGTCTTGAATTCTCTCAGAGAAGACGCAGAAAGCAGAACAGGGAGCAGCAGCCTCCTGTAGAGAAAGAGACCCCAAAGCAAAACACTGAGGGAGATTATGAGACATGTGGACCTGCTTTCTTCACAAAGGGGCTTGCTACGTAGCTTGGGTTGCCCTAGAATTTATGATCCTCCTGCCTCAGCCTCCCAGGCGTTGGACTTACAGGTGTTACCATCACAAGCGGAGTTTCCTTTGTTAGACGTCTTACTCCATGGTTTTAGAAAAGTCTTCAAGTTTTTGTGATTTCCTGGCATAAGGACAAGATAAGAACCTTGCTCTAGATGCGAGAGCTGATGGCACAGTTCTTGTGAGGGAGAAGGCAATTCTGAAGCTGAGGCATGGAGGGGCTCTAGGCTCGGGCCCACAGCATGTGTCTCCAGCCTCAGTGATGTGTGTGGTTTCCCCTCTGACCTAGAACGTACTACTCTACATATATAAAGGTATAGTGACCCTAGGCCTCAGCTCCAACATGCTCAGCCTGTTTTCTAGTTTGCAGACAGGGACCACTGCTTTTTGGAAGAATGTGCTGAAGTCTAGATTCATCGTATTCATAAGGATTGGACAGTAGATGTTGGCTCTCATCTCAAGCTTTCGTAGCCTCTGTAACACTTTAAATTTAAAGTTTTCATCTGCCTCTTTGAGACCGTTACGTTTTTAATCTTAAAAATACCATTAATAATATAGTTACATAAAGACTCGTTCTAAGCTGTTGTAGTTCCTCAGACAGATTCTCCCCGAGACCAGAACTCGCACCAGAATACTTTCATTTCTGACTGTGTACCTTTCTCCACTGCTCGAATCTATCATGAGCATGTCTTCTCATAGGAGGTCAACACACGTGTATATATGTATATGTACATATATATAGCTTACAAGTTTAGATTAAATTCTGTTCATTTGATTAAATTTTCTAGTCCCTTATTAGATTCTTCCCCCCTCTAGTTTAGCATAAATGTTTGGAAAAACATGAGATTTGTCCAAAAATGTGCAAAATGAGCTTTGAGAATTGGGAAATAAAAGCAACTGACATAAAGCTGATATTTCTTCATCCATACCTTATTATTGGTTGGTATGCACGTCTGGAGAAGCAGTCACATGAGTGATAGCTGGGAGAAAAGCTCTCTCTCCCAACGTTTTGACGAGACGTCTTTTCGTCAGCCAGTTTGATAAGTTATCGGTCTTCTGAATCTTACTGCTTAAACTACAGAGGTATTAGGGGAGCTGTTTTTTAAAAAATTTTTATTGTTTTTACTGAGCTATATATTTTTAAAATTGATTTTATTGAGCTCTACATTTTTCTCTGTTCTCCTCCCTGCCTCTCCCCTCCCCTTCTACCCTCTCCCATGGTCCCCATGCTCCCAATTTACTCAGGAGATCTTGTCTTTTTCTGCTTCCCATGTAGATTAGATCCATGCATGTCTCTCTTAGGGTCCTGTTTGTTGCCTAGGTTTTAGGGGAGATTTTTAGAAGAGAAACAAGGTGAAAGCTTCTAAGCCTGAGTTCTGGTAAAGGATGAGGACTCAAGAAGTAGCTCAGAGGTAAAACATTTATCTACAGCATTCAAGGCTTGAGGCTTTAATCCTCAGCAGTCCCCCCAAACAAGAAATTCTCCGTAGCTAGCTGAGAACCCTGGGGCACAGCTGTGCAACCCCAGCCCTCTTCACCGCATGACAGCCAAGATCCTGACAAAAACAACAGCAGCAACCACAAACCACACACACAATGTTTTTCAGGAGTACGGTTTAGGCTGGAAAACTGTGACATTTGACCCACCTCCCTTCCCAACAGGTGAACATTATACCACTGATTGCCAAAGCCGACGCACTTTCCAAAAGCGACCTCCAGAGGTTCAAGAGTAACATCATGAGCGAGCTGGTCAGCAACGGCATCCGGATATTTCAGTTTCCCGAGGATGACGAAGATGCTGCTCAAGTAAACACCTCGGTGAATGTAAGCTTCTTCTGCTGGGTCTGAACTCCCTTCACATGTGAGACTGAAGTACAGTTTGTAATATTATCTGCACTTTATTATCACTTGTATCAGACAAGAGATAATAAACAATATATTTTCCCTCAAAATGCATTGTGGGGGAAATGTTTCCACTCACCCTCCCTCCCTCCCTCCCTCTCTTCCTCCCTCCCACCCTCTCTTCCCTTCCTCTCGTCCTTTCTTCTTCTCTTTTTTCCATCCTTCCTTGGCAGGGTTTCATGTGGTCCAGGCTGGCCTTGAATTTACTGTATAGATGAGACTGACCCAACCTAATTCTATCTCCTGGATACTGGGATTACAGGTAGGAGCTACCAGGCCTGGTGTATACAGTGCTGGGGTTCAAACTTAGGATGTTGTTCTTGCCAGGCAAACACTCTCCCAACAGAACTTAAACCTCCAATGTGCTGTTTTTCAAATTCATGGCTTTTTTTCTCATTAGTTGCTTTTTCATAATACACATGCACATCATATACAGATACAGCTATGTATATTTACTTAAATACAGAAATACAATTTGTATATTTGTTTTTGGAGTGTGGACATTTGGTATTGGAGAAACAGTTGGTGTGCTCATCCCTGAGGAAGACTTTCTCCTGCCCTCAGGATGCATTAGTTGCCTGGAGTCCTTTGTGTAGGGTCGAGACTCCCTGGGGTCCCCACCCCACATCAGCCTGTCTACTGTGGTCCTCATTCAGCTCCTGTTCAGGCAGTCATGTTGGTTCCTAAGAGACACAGCCTTACAGCAAACTCCTTGATTCTCTGGCTTTTACAATCATCCTGATCTCTCTTCCTACAACGGTCCCTGAACCTTAGATTTGAGAGTTGTATTGTAGGTGTATCTGTTGGGACCAGACTCTACAACTCTGCATTTTTTTTTGGGTTGTGTTTTCTGTAATATTTTCTGTTGTAAAGAGAATTTTCTTGATGAGGTGTGAGGACTCCATTTATCTGTGGTGATGAGGACAAATATTCAGACCATAGTTAGGGATGATGCTGGTTTAGGAAAGCAGTGGTTGTAGGCTCCCCGCCCCCAAGATCCATGACTTCACGAGCCCTGGGTAGTTGGCTGGGTTTCTGTTACCAGGCATGCTTTCTGTCTTGTTAATCAGATCTTATGCCTGATTAGAGAGGTGTTGGATACTGCCAAGGTATGTGTGCTACTACTACACTCTTAGGGTTATTGTTCCACGCTGGTTATCATTGTGGTTCTTAGGCACCACAGCTGGGTAGGGCTGTTGGTTGCCTCCCTCCTTTGGAAGTTTGCATGGCACTTTCTAGAACCATGAAAGCTAGTCTTCAGGGAGAGGCTTTTAGGTCAGTTCTAGCTCAGGGGATTCTGGACTCAGTGTCTGAAGTGTGTGGTGTCTTCAGCAATAAGGACTTTTCTTTCGCCTCTTAGGGGCAATCAAGGGGAACAGCAATCACCTATAATGTTTCGAGAGTTGCTTCGACCACCTTGACCAACAGCTCAAAAGAGGGCTTCTTATACCTGGTGTTGAGATTTTTGTTAGATGGCCTTTGTGTCTTGGAGGAAGCATTGTTAGCCCAGATGGGAACATACCATTTAAGGTGTATTTGTAAATTTATGCACCAGTTTATGTAAATTATAGATATTTTCATGTGGTTTCCTCTTCTAGGTATTTTATGCGATGAATTACATGTAATCTTTTGTACCTGTTATCTTCAGTTAGGATAATGTTTTCAAGATTTACAATATCGTACGAGTATTTGTACTGAATGTGTATGCACGCATGCATGCCTAGAGATCATTGTGTGAATATACTACATTTGGGCTTATTCCACATTTTGACTATTATAAAGAATGTTATTATAAGCATTTATGTACAAGTGTTTGTGATGACATGTACTTTAATTTCTCCTGAGTATATATCTAGAAATAGAATTCTTCGATCCTGTGATAACTACACCTAGTCATTTGAAGATCTGTTGTATTGATTCCCTAAACACCTGCCCTAGGAATTTTGATTTAATTTCTTTGTCTTAATTCATACTATATAAATGTTAAGAAAATCTGGCGACATTACTTATTATGGGTGGATCCCACTGTATTTTTGATTTGCATTTTGGAAGACTACAGATGTGGAATGTCTTTTCACAGGTTTATGTCTATTTTTATGTCTTCCTAGGGAGAAACATATATTCAGATTGTTTATTTTAAGTTGACATTTTGCCTTGCTTTGTAAGTTACAAGGGCCCCTTGAATTCTCTTTTTCCGTTTCACTTCATGCTGTGAAGCAGTCTAGATTATCCTGCCCGTCTGTCTTTATATATTCATTATTCAGTCTCTCTTTATAGCCCCTAATTTACGCACTTCCCAGACTCCACTCATCATTTATATTGAATTTTTGTTTTTAGCAGTGTGGGTTGAACCCTGAGCTTCACACATGCTAAGAAAGGCAATCTACTGATGGCTCAGCTTCATTCCCAGACTGAGACTGAATTTTATTTTCCTTTCTTTCTTTCTTTTTTTTAAAGATAGGGCTTCTCTGTATAGCCCTGGCTGTTCTAAAACTAGCTTTGTGGAAGAGGCTAGCCTGGAACTCAGAGATCCACCTGCCTCTGCCTCCCAAGTGCTGGGATTAAAGCGTTCACCACCACCACCTGGCTCATGCCTGATTTTTTCTGTGGGATCAGACTCAGGTTCTCATGCTCACAGAGCGTGTACTTTATCAATGAAACTAACACCCTAGTTCCCCTGAGGACACACATAATATTGTTCATTAGCAGATTTTATGCTCTTTATCCATTAACTAACCATCATTTTAATTAATTTATTATTATTTTCTGAGATAGGATCTCACTATCTAGCCTTGGCATCCCTGGAACTCACTCTGTAGATCAGTCTGGTCTCAAACTCAGAGAGATCCACCTGCCTCTGCCTCCTAAATGCTGGGATTAAAGGTGTGTGCACTACTATGCCCAGTTTATTCTTTATTTCTAATCGGTTCTTCTGTTAATTTACATACTATCAATAAAACAGTTTTCATATCATCTCGCCAATATTGTCTATGTGTTCAGTGTAAAGAAAATGTGAGAAAATTATGTGTATTTACAATCTTTTTTTATCTTTCTACTACATGCACCATGATGCCTTTCTTTAGGAAAGGTAGCACTATTAGGTAGGTAGTTTTTTATTTTTAAATTATGTCAGCCTGAGATAAATGCTCATAAAAATAATTAGCACATATTATCTAAGTATAAAAATCTGACACGATAGATTATTTGTGCAGTTAAATGTGTTATACTAGCTTCACCTATCATAGAAAAAGTGCATCATTGAAGGGGCGAGGTCGATCGGTAATTAAAAATCCGCCAGACTAGCTTAATACAAAAGATACAGCTTTAATAAACAGAAGGAAAACTCACACCAGAGTCCGGAACGCAGGAGCCAAGCGAGAGAGAGCGGGGAAGCGCATTCGCCAGGTTTATAGGTAAATTTTTACCTTAGGGAAACACGCCCCACGGACAGAATGTGATTGACTGAATTCCCCTATCATATCGTTTGTAAAGCATAGTGTTTGAAGGGAGTTTAACTTGTATCCACCCCCTACCCTGAGACAGGGTTTCTTTGTGTAACAGTCCTAGCTGTCCTGGAACTTGCTTTGTAGACCAGGCTGGCCTGGAACTCACTGCAATCCGCCTGCCTCTGCTTCCCAAGTGCTGGGATTAAAGACCTCTGCTACCACCGTCTGGAAACTTATGTCATTTTTATTTGTTTAGGGGCTGCTACCTTTTGCTGTGGTAGGAAGTATGGAGGAAGTGAAAGTTGGAAAAAGAATGGTCAGAGGTCGTCACTACCCTTGGGGAGTTTTGCAAGGTAAATATGAGAGCGTGTTTAAATCTCATGATGATTAAATCCAGTATATACTGGGCTCTCCGAAGTCTCAAATAGCATTTGGGCCAGTGTCGGTAACTCTTAACTAGCTTGTAGGTTAATAGTTGCTAATGAGGAACACAGATTCCATTCTTGTGGTACAGTTGTTCTCGACTTTCCTAATGCGGCGACCCCGTTAATTCCTCATGTTGTGGTGACCCCCAACAATAAAATTATTTTGTTATTATGTTAGAGCTTTAATTTTACTACTGTTATGAATCATAAATATCTGCTATGTAGGAAAACCAACATGAGACTTCCAGGGGGGTCGCGATCCACATGTTGAGAACCTTTGCTGCAGGATTTTGCCGGAAGCTGACTTAGACCCACACCTACAAAGTCTCCTCGTTTAACCGATGTGCCACACGCACACGGTCTCTGTCTTCCTGAAAGGTGCCATTCAGAATGTTCAGGCTCACTTGAACAAAACTGAAGTCTAGATACTAGCGCCTACAAGAAAAGATAGCGCCTATTACCTAGATACACCTGCCCAGGATGGCACCGCCCACATTGGGCTGGACCCTTCTACACCAATTAGCAATCGAGAAAATGCTCTACCGACACGCCCACAAATCAATCTGATTGGAGGCAACCTCTCCATTCAGGTTCTGCCTTTCCCGGTCTGTGAGGTTGAAAGCAAGATCAGATACCACATAGACTAAATAAATAGTAGAAATAATTGGTGAGCTCAAAGTTTTTGTTTTGTTTTTTTTTTAATATGCAGGTGAGGGGGGTGATGGTAACAAATGAGGACAAGTTGGAGATGGTACTAAAAAAAGAGCAAATATTTGGATTGAGAACACCCAAAGCGGTAGAAAGCTTATTCAGCACAATACTAACGGAAGTCCTCCATAACAGATTTCTCCGATTTCCTTTTGACCAGTGGAGAATGAGAACCACTGCGACTTCGTGAAGCTCCGGGATCTGCTGCTGTGCACGCACATGGAAGATCTGAAAGATCAAACCCACACCCAGCATTACGAGTGTTACAGGAGCAGCAGACTGCAGCAACTGGGCTTCCACGACACGGGCCCCGACAGTCAGCCAGTGAGGTGAGGGAAGCCTGTGCTGGCTAGCGAGCCGGCTCAGTGGTTCCTCAGTGCTTGCTGCTCTTGCAGAGGACCCGGGTTCAATCCCCAGCACTCCTTGCTGCCTCCCAGTCATCTGTAACTCCAGTTCTAGAGGATCCAGTGTTCTCTTCCGGCTTATGTGGGCTCCTGGCCACATAAGCTATATTGACATATGTACAGATAGACACTCATACACATAAAATTAAGAGTAAATAAATCTTAAAAAAGAAATTGCTTTATGTGTAAATTGATCCTTTAGGATGCCCTTAAAACCACCAGGTATGCTCATCCAAGAATGAAGAGGTGGCTCATGATGAACTCTTAGGTTTTTAAGAGTTCTTGGACTTGGATGGGGAGGCATCAGAAGCAGCATCATGACAGGGTTCATTTATAGGTTAGAGTGTGTCCAGTATTGCATGTTTTGAACTGTGGGCTCCAGGGAAGGCACTATGTTTTAAAAACATTTGTATCTGTGCAAAACAGAGGTTCATGGAAGGATAATCAAGTATTGACATTTATTAATAAAAATCGACAAAGGTTTTTGGAGAAGAGGTTGCTGAAAAAGTATTAAAAAGTAGTTATACAAATGCTGGAAGTCAGGTGAAAAGCCTATGAACAGAACAGTTACGTCACACTGACAACATTTTGGCTACAGAAGTACGGATTGGATTATGTTCATGTTGTAGTCGCCATGGTTGCATTTAAAATAACTTTAAAAATTTTACATTTATTTATTTGCTTATTTACTTATTTGTGTGTGTGTGTGTGTGTGTGTGTGTTCACGCCTGCAGAGGTCAGAAAACAACTTGTAGGAGTTGCCTTTCTCCTACCGCATGGGTCCTGGGGATCCACTCGGATCTTTTCGCATGACAGCAAGTACCCTTCCTTACCTGCCGAGCCATCACACTGGCCCTTTATCCGTGTTTTCAATCTAAGGGTGATGAACTCTTGCTTTTAGTTTCCAAGAGATGTATGAAGCCAAAAGACAAGAGTTCCATGCTCAGTGTCAGAGGGAGGAGGAAGAGCTGAAGCAGACGTTCATGCAGCGGGTCAAGGAGAAGGAACTGACCTTTAAGGATGCTGAAAAGGAGGCACGTATCACTCACCTCACGTCCATTCTCTGGGTCCTGTTCTTTGGGGGATGAGCTCCAGTGGATTCTTATTTTGGAAGAAACTTTCCATCTCTCTAAAAGTAGCTATTCATACACAGGATCTTAGTATAGCATTTATGAAATGATAGGCTGAAATGATACCCTTTCCCCCTGAGCATTTTGAGAATTTGTCTTTTTGAGTGCCCCGTGTCTCCAAGGACTTCCCTCTCAGTTCACCCAGCGCCTCTTCTGCTTACAGCTCTGCCAGCAAGAACCCTACAGGGGGTCTTGGGGCCTGCCCCAGCTCCATAGTTTCATCAGGCATTGTCTTAAGTGGAGTTCCCTATAGTAGCTATGGTCCTGTGACAGGGCCCCTAGGCTTTCTATGATATCTTTAGTCCCCTATAGTAGCTATGACCCTGTGACAGGGCCGCTAGCCTATCTATGATGTCTTTTGGAACCTGTGAGGAGACTTCTTAGCTTCACAGCTCTTGCCTTGTGCTTGCCCATAGAGTCATCATCACATGACAGAACCCAAGACTTATAGTTTGTACCTGCTAGAGCATCAGATGCAGACATGCCATTCCCAATTGATTTTGACTGGAGTTTAAGGAGTGCTGTGCGGCACATAGCAGTGAATCATTAAGCCACTGGGACACCTGTCCAGACAGCTTGCCTCAGAGACCTCCCAAACGCCTCAGGGCCATTCTCCATTGCTTTCATGACTAAAACTGATTTCTAACTTTATTAATCTCTTTAGCAAAGGGCTGCCTGGACATAGCCTCAGTATTCTTTGGAAAACTTCCTTATATTATAATTTCAGTTTTCAATAATTTTACTGTTTCCACTTAGTTATGAATTCACTCTTTAGTTTTGCTTTTGATCTGCCTGCCTCTGACTCTCAAATGCTGAAACCAATGACTTTGTACCATTACTGCCTGGCTTCAGTAGTTAGTTTCTGTTCCCCACCTTCTCTCCCCCTGAGATAGGGTTTCTCTGTGCGGTCCTGGCTGTCCTGGAGCTACGATTGCTTCACTGTCTCTTTATCCTTTCTGGTCTGTTGTATAAGTTGTGTGACAATATTCCTATGGAAACACAAACACACGTCTCCTTACCCTAGATAGGACACAGATGACTCTCTAAAGTGAGGAGGTAGCAGAGAAACTAGCCATCCCCCTCGGTGATAACTCATGTCACACACTCAGGAAAAATTAGGGAAAAACTCTTAATAATAATAACATGTGTCCAGCGTTTGCTAGCCATGTGTTCAGTGTTTGCTAGTGTCCAAGGAGAAATTGGCCATGAACAGGCATCACCCCCACCCTCCCATTCCCATAGCCTTATAAAGTTTTATAACCTCAAGTTACATTTTGAGTAATTAAACATGTTTCACAAAGACAGAAATCTTAAGGTTTGGCTGTTTGGACAAATAGGAACACTTACAGTATAAAATATTGTCACAGTTATCCAGAGACAAGCCTGGATTGCTTTTACCAGGCTGCTGTTAACCAGGGTTATCTTGTCCGCCTGGCAGGATTGTCTTACTCTGCTAAAAGTCCTGGGAGGGCTCCCAAAGCTAAATTCTGCTTTGTATTATTTAATATTCCCTTAAAAAACTTCGTAAGTCCTTTATAATATCCATTTGTTATTCTCAGTTTCTCCTATTTCAAGTCCAACTTGGGGGATCCATTAGCCCTATTGGGGGGTGACCTCAGGAAGATGAGTGAGATGTTACAGGAGCAGAAATGACCCAGAGACAGCTACATCACCAAAGCCACCCCAGCATGGACAACAGCTCACAAGAGCTGGGAATGTGGAGCCTACTGCGCAGCCTGCAGGTAGCTCAGCAGGTTGGAGAGTGTCCTTTTCGGCTAGCTCAGGTGGTCTGAGCCTCTTCCAGGTAGCTCAGCGGCTCTCTGCTTCTTCCAGGCAGCTTGTTTTGTCCGAGAGTGTCTCTCAGCCTTCCCCACAGCTTATATAAGCCCAGGGAGAGGTGTGTCTAGTGAATCTGGACAGTTTTAGGGACTTCCTGAAGCTATCAAGGATCCCCGACCTCAACTGAACTTGACTTTCCCTGCAGGATGGAATCCTTGGCCTCACTAGGACCATCCTGGTGATTTACCTCCTTCTAAACATCCTGTGTCGTAACTAGCTTCCCTCCAAGATGGAAGGTTTGAATCTGGGAGGAAAGTGATACACAACAGTATATTTTTGCAAACGTATCTGCTGAACAAATTAGCTTCTTTATTATTTTTCAGAGAGATTTTTTTCCTTGCTATAGATTTTGGCTGAAAGTTTCCTTTTTCCTCAATGAATTATTATCATTAATCTCTCTGTGTGTATATGCCCACGTGCATGCGTATTAGTGTGTGTGTGTATAAGAAAAACATTTTCTTGTAGGCAATGCTCTACTGAATACTGTCTTAAAAACCTTAAATACTTATGCTTTAATTAGAGAGTCTAATCCACTTACAGTTAAAGTGATTATTGATCGATGGGAACTTAATGTTCCCATTTTCCTGTTGGCCGACTCTATTGCCAGTTCCTTTGTTTCTTCTCTTGCTGGCTTTATCTGTTACTTGTTAATGTTTCTGTAGCCTCCTGCTTTGCTAATTTTCTCTTTATCTTTTGTGTACCTCTCATAAGGTTTAAAAGTTTTTCAGTGTTTTAAACCAAAGTTACTGGAAGTTGGGCCATTTAGATTGCTCAGCAGATTAAGGCACTTACCGCCAAGCCTCATGACCTGAATTCCGTCCCTGAGACACACGGTGAGAGGAGAGAGAACTCACTCTTGCAAGTGGTTCTCTAACCGACACACTTGCATTGCAGCTTGTGCTTACCCCACCCCACATGAAAGAAATTAATAAATGTAGTTTTATTTTTGTTTTTCACAAATTAGGGGAGGTGAGTTTTGCACTAACTCCCTGCATTAGATTTTAATGTACAAGAAGACCAAACCAGAATGGAATCCCCCATGCTAAATGACGTATAATCAAATTACGCTTCAAAGTGGACCAGTTTGGGGCCAGCAGAAAGGCTCAGGAAGTAAGAAGGGTGCTTGCTGCTGAAGCTGAGTTAGATCTAACCTGAGTTAGATCCTGGAAACTCCATGGTGGAAGGAGAGAACCAACTATAGACAAAATCACAAGAGAATATAGTCAGCTTGAGTTAGTGGGGTAAAACTTTGATTAAAACCGTAACAAAAGCCAAGTGGTGGTGGCACACGCCTTTAATCCCAACACTCGGGAGGCAGAGACAGGATCTCTGTAAATTCAAGGCCACCCTAGTCTACAAGAGCTACTTCCAGGACAGCTAGGATTGTTACACAGAGAAACCCTGTCTCAAAAAACAAAACAAACTAAACAAAAAACCTATATGAAACCAACTTTCAAATGCCCATCTGAATTTTGCTACCAGTTCCTGCTTTCTTCTTCTGCCTTTAACCCTCACCCCCATCTCCTCGACACCCTCACATTTCCTATAATCTAATAATATAAAATATAAATGTAATAGGTTTAGAATGGTCCTTTGCTCAACTCTAGAAACAGAACTAGAACTTGAAACCAATTATACTATGAAGTTTAGTTTTTGTAATTTTAGGGAGCACAGTAGTGATACACTTGACCTCCACCCCCTTTTTTTAGAGATAGGGTTTCTATATATAACTGTCCTGGCTGTCCCGGAACTTGCTTTGTAGACCAGGCTAGTCTCAAACTCACAGAGGTCGCCTGCCTCTGCTTCCCAAGTGCTGGAATTAAAGGTGTGTGCCACCACCACCCAGCCCTGGACCCCCTTTAAGGGCTTCCATTTACCTTGTAGAAGTCCAAAGATTCAAAGAAGTGCTTCTTGGGTCATACACTGCCTTTTGGATTTCATGAATCTTTGCGACTCTTCCTGTTCCTGTTCCTCTTCCTCTTACCCTTCCCCTCCTCCTCCTCCTCCTCCTCCTTCTTCTTTAAATAGCTGCAGGACAAATTTGAACACCTGAAGAGAATCCAACAAGAGGAGACCCTGAAACTGGAAGAAGAGAGAAGAAAGTTAGAAGAGCAAATCATAGATTTTTATAAAATGAAGGCCGTCTCTGAGACATCGCAGGCTCAGGTGTACACCAATGTAAAGAAGGACAAAGATCGCAAGAAATGATCTCTTCTTACCATTCCAGCTGGTTGAGAGTTCACCATCCTCTCTTCATGTACCCATGAACTTGTCTGCTGCATAGTACTTAACTTTGACTGGAAGTCTAATCTTTTCAGCGATTATTTAGCATGTGTGATTTTGTACTGGAGTGTCAAATACTTTGGAGGAAGATACCATGCGTATCTTGTGAGGTGTTGCAACATGGACCAGCACTCCATGGTTGTGTTCATTAATAAACATAGCCAAGAAGTATCTAGCATAGTATAGACATATATGATCAGACAGAGGACCTTTGCTACCGATGTGCCTTTGACTCTAGTAGTGACTTTTACAATTTCTGCTTCTTTAGAGTTTTTACTCTCTCTCTCTCTCTCTCTCTCTCTCTCTCTCTCTCTCTCTCTGTGTGTGTGTGTGTGTGTGTGTGTGTGTGTTTTGTTGTTTATTTATTTTTTTTTGAGACAGGTTCTCACTATGTAGTACTAGCTGTCCTTGCTAGCACTTTGTGTAGATCGGTCTGTCCTTGAACAGTGATACTCCTGCTTCTGCCTCCCGAGTGCTGGGATTATAAGTGTAAACCAGCATACCTAGCTCTATCGAATTTTTCTTGAGGATGCATAGGCATAAAGTATTGTTATAAAAGGTGATTATTGGTTATTCCCTTACCAAATTCTATTGATAGCTATTCTTGATAATTTTAATTGCAATGTAGCATTATGTTTTGATTAGAACTCCTATGTGTTGTGGAAGTGAAAATGAAAGGTTCAAAATCTAGATGGCAGCAGACTGATAATATTAATCCTTAAAGATTTTGGCTCTATGCTAAAAAATTATTACCGTGTACAGTATGGGATATGGTTCTTTGTCCTGTTTTTAAAAATGTCCTGATTTTATAAACTGAGGTGAGGGCTTTTTAAATTTAAAACATTTTTTATCTATTACTTATTTGATGTTTTGGTGTGAGCCTAGCCTTTAGTGGCTGAGCCCCAGTTACGTATTTGAATGTGGTTGACCTTCCCTATGCTGACCCATTCTATGACAATGCAGCCTTTGAAGGACTTCGTCTCTGTGTACTTCAGCCACATTTGGATCAATTCTTTCTTAATAGTCCTGAGCAAAGTAGAGTTCTAATGAAATTTTTAATATTGCATCCATTTCAAATGCAGCATTTAAGGCTATCACTATATGTACTCAAAACACTTTATAATTTATACTTATAATATTTCCGTGAAAAAGTCTTGTGTGAAAAGTGACAAGAAAGAGAAACAAATCCATAACAGTTTTATATTTTTTGGTAAGTCATCTTACAAGTCGGGTGAGAAAGACATATAATACATGGCTATCATAGTGCCAACAGGAGAAGAACAAAGATCTTTCTTCTGATCATTTATGTCATTTATGTATTCATTCCTAGATTTAGGACAATTCTTAATGCACAGCGAATACTATTAATTGAATAAATCATCCCAGTAGTAGTGTGTTACCTGCATTATATACATGAATAGTTTAATTCAGATAATTGACCTTTTTATTTTTTGAGAAAGGGTTCCTTTGTGTATTCCTAGCTATCCTGGAACTTACTCTGTAGACCAGGCTGGCATCAAACTCCACCTGCCTCTGCCTCCCGAGTGCTGGGATTAAAGGTGTGCACCACCACTGCCCAGCTAGATAATTGACTTTCAAACATAATATAGCGTATCACTGTTTTCAACATGGCTGTGAGTTATATTGCTGAAATGCTTTTTCTATTGCCATTCTTTAATCTTAATGCAGTGTTTGTAAAATTGGAACTGACAATGTTATACAATAGATAACATCAATAAAATTCATGGTGTGTGTTAGCTGTTGGCTCAGTTTACAGCAGGGTGGGTTGGAATAGAGATCAAGACAGACGTGGCTAAGATGCATTCCCAGTGACCAACTTCTTCCAGCTGTTCCCCATTCCCACAGCTTTCTTGCTCTTCCAAAATAGCATCACCGAGTCCTGAACATTGAAAACATGAACATAGTGGGAAGTTTTCAGCTTCAAGTCACACATCTGTCAGTGGACCAAAATGGCATGGCTGTCTCATAATGCATGATAGATTTACCCCATTTACAAGAGTCCCCAAGCTCTATCAGTTCTCATGTTTTTCCAGATTCTAGGTCCAAAGTCTCTTGTGTCTGAAGGCAAACTCCTAGGTATGATCCCTATAAAATAAAATAAATAAACACAAGTTTAGTGTCTCCGAGATAAAATACCAGAGTTCAAACCTCTTTAAAGAGAGGGGTTGGGAGTATAGAAAGGAGGGATTGCGTCAAACCAAGGCTGAAAACCTGCAGGGCCAGCTCCATGTTTAGCATCTGGAGCACATGTTGGTATCATCTGAGCTCCAATGGACGTGGGCAGTCTCATCTCTGTGGCCTTGCCACATGGCCTATCTTAGGCTGCCTTCATTCATTCCCTGTAACTGTGCTCGGAAAACATTTCTTCTTTCCTTTCCTTTTCTTTTCTGTTCTTTTCCTTTTTTTCTTTCTTTTTTGTTTTTTGCTTTTGCTTTTTGAGACATGGTTTCTGCATATAGTCTTGGATGTTCTGGAACTCATTCTGTAGACCTGTAGAGGCTGGCCTCGAACTCACAAAGATCCTCCTGCCTCTGCCTCCTGAGTATGGGGATTGAAGGCATACACGACCACTGCCCAGTCCAGAAAACATTTCTTGTTCCCAGTACCTCCAAATGTGATGTCTTGAAGCTTTAACTCCCCTGCATTCTTTGTGACAGGGTCCCATGATGTATCCCTAAATGGCCTGAAACTTGTTATGTAGACCAGGTTGGCCTCAAAGCACAGAGGTCTGTCTGGCTCTGTCTCCCAAGTGCTGGGATTCCTGCGTCCATCACAGACTCCGTTTCTAGCTTCATTCCCACAGCTTCATTCCCTGCCCTCCCCTGCAGTCAGTTGATCCTGATACACATTGCATGCCTTCTCAGGTCTTCCTTGCAAATCCCAGTGGGACTGGGAGGTGGTGGCACAGGCCTTTAATCCCAGCAATTGAGAGGTAGAGGCAGGCGGATCTCTGTGAATTGAGGGCAGCCTGGTCTGCAGAGTGAGTTCTAGGACAGGCCCCAAAGCTACAGAGAAAACCTGTCTTGAAAACAAAACAAAACAACAACAACAACAACAAAACTCAGTGGGGGCCATAGTACGCAGTGTAGAGCATACATATCTATAAAACCAGTATCTCGTGTATGACGTCATAGCCCACTACCAGCTGAGCAGCGGAGTCGCTCTTGGAGCAGTGCTACAACTTCTAAGTGCTTGGGAGCCTGAGCCCGGGAAACACGGTGGACTTGTGGTAGCAGGGTGCCCCACTGGCACTCTCTGCTCAAAGGAAAGCCTTTCAGATGAGTTAACAGTTAGTTATCCTGGAACCTAAGGTAGGTGGCATTTGGCTAATTTGTCCCAGGCAAAGTACTTGGCGTCTCTTAAATAGACATAAAACTAGACTTTTAACAACAAAAATTTCAAGTCCTTGACTTTTAATTTGAATCTTTTCTGGCCAGGGACCATGTTTTCCAAATCATTATTTGGAAAAAAAATAAAATCTTTTGTTTTTCTTCCAAATTCTCACTGTCCACCTCACTAAAAGCAGTCGGCAATAGTCATGCCACATTTGAATGTCACACTGTCTTGAAATTTTCTCTGGCAAATTTAATACCATTGAACTCAGTCTCTCACAAAGCTTCAGAATGTGAACAAGGTATATACAAACTCTTTGCCTATAGTTAAGAAAAATGGCCTTTGGTCCAATTCCCAATAAAATTCTCTTCCCACCTGAAATCTCATGAGTAGTTTTAGTTACTGCAGATATTCTGGTTATACTAGTTACTGCAGATATTCTGGTTATACTAGTTACTACAGATATTCTGGTTATACTAGTTACTACAGATATTCTGGTAGTATTAGTTACTACTGATATTCTGGTTATATTAGTTACTACTGATATTTTGGCTGTATTAGTTACTACAGATATTCTGGTTGTATTAGTACTGATGTTCAGGCTGCATTAGTTAGTACTGATATTCTGGTTATATTAGTTAGTACTGGTATTCTGGTTGTATTAGTTAGTACTGATATTCTGGTTATATTAGTTACTACAGATATTCTGGTTGCTTTAGTTAGTACTGATATTCTGGTTATATTAGTTACTACAGATATTCTGTTTGCATTAGTTACTACTGATATTCTGGTTCTATTAGTACTGACATTCAGGTTGCAGTAGTTAGTACTGATATTCTGGATGTATTAGTTACTACTGATATTCTGGTTGCTTTAGTTAGTACTGATATTCTGGTTATATTAGTTACTACAGATATTCTGGTTGCTTTAGTTACTACAGATATTCTGGTTGCTTTAGTTAGTACTGATATTCTGGTTGTATTAGTTACTACAGATATTCTGGTTGCTTTAGTTAGTACTGATATTCTGGTTGTATTAGGTACTACTGATATTCTGTTTGCATTAGTTACTACTGATATTCTAGTTCTATTAGTTAGTACTGACATTCAGGTTGCATTAGTTAGTACTGATATTCTGGTTCTATTAGTTACTACTGATATTCTGGTTGCATTAGGTACTTTGCTGTTACTGTGATGAAAATACCACAAGCAAGGCAACTTTTAGAAGGAAAGTTTATTTGTGCTGACATCTTCAGAGGAACGAGTCCACCAGGGCAAGGAAGCAAGGCTGCAAGCAGGTATGCTGGCCAGAGCAGGAAGCTGATGGATCACATCCTCAACCTCAGTCCCAAAGCAGAGAGAGTGAACTGGAAGTAGGGTGAGGCTATGACATTTAAAGCCCACCCCAGTGACATACTTCCTCCAGCAAGGCTGCACCACCTCCCCAGATGATGCCACCAACTGGGAACCCAGTGTGCAAATGCTCGAGCCAATGGGGGATGTTTTGCTATTCGGAGCTCCCCCAAGTCATCTCTTCAACAGTCTAAGGTTTCTACACAGCTCTAAATTCTTCCAAATTCCATCTACAGACTAGTTGAAGGGGCCTAAGCGCCCCACGGTCAGGCTTAGTCTCACGAATCACACTTCTCCGGTACCAATCTCCTTTCGTCCCTGTCTTAGTTACTTCCATGTTGCTGTGATCAAACGCCATTGTGAGGGAATGAAGGAAGGGAGAGTTTAATTTGGGCTTATGGTTCCAGAGGGAGAAGAGTTCATCGTCACTAGGCTGGGGAAGTGAGGCAGCCATCAGGCAGGGCAACTGGAGCTGATCAGTAAGGGCTTCCGTCTGGAAGCACAAACAGGAAGCAGGGAGTGCCAACTCAAAATGGCACCCGCCGCCGTTAAACTCTGAACACCCCACATACTTCCTCCAGCAAGGTCACACTTCCTAGGTCCCACTCAGCTTGAGCCACACTTCCCCAGGCAGCACCAACTGGGGACCAGGGATTGAAGCGCCAGAGACGATGGGGGACATTTTTCATTCAAACCACTGTACTACAGATTGCATACATACAACCCCTCCCCTTTCCCGTTACTGTGGACAGCTTACTGGACACAGACAACTTACAAGAATTGCAAGAATAGAGATTTTGGCCAATGGTTTTTAATAATTCAGTCTATTCATACTGAACATAGGTGTGAACAAGGGCTAAAAATAGAAAGGGAAGCATTTCAGAGAAAGGGAATATATGCTTGGGTGCAGGTATAGACCCCTCCTTGCTTTCTTCAGTAAATGGCATGGTTCCTTGGGTCAACAACTTGGGTTCCTTGGGTGGGACCACAGCTGATCAGGTGAAACTGAGGGCCACAAAGATTTCATTAGAGTCCAGCCGGGCATGGTGGCATTGAGTCATCCAGTTTCCTCAAAACAACCCCCCCCCAAACAAACAAAACCCCACAAAATCAACAACAAACGAGTTAAGACATTGTTTTTTCCCTTTTGTAAATGAAGTTCATGATCTTATTTGTGTAATTCCCTGAAGGTTACATCTGGGAATTAGCAAGGCCCTATACACAGACCATAATCAAGGCTCACTGCATCTTAACACTCTTATTTAAAATGTCTGGGATTTTGTTTGTATTTTGATGAAACAGGATCTCGATATGTAGCTCTGACTGGTCTGGAACTCCTTAAACTAGCCTGGATTCCAACTCACAGAGATCCTGCCTCTGCCTCCCCAGTTCTGGGGTTAAAGGTGTGAGTCACCTCTTGAAATGTCTTAGTGTAAAAGGTATATTGTCATTATTAGGTAACCTTTTAACACATTTTGTGCTGGAATTCTTGGTTTTCAGCTGGCAAGAGTTTAATCAGGCTAGGGCCTTCTTCTTCTTTCCACCTCCTTGGATTGCTGATATTCATTGAAAGTGCAAATATGTCAGGGGTGTACGTCAGTCAGCAACGAGACTCTGCCTTAAAGAGCTCGATTCAGTCATTTTGTTCAGACTCAGTCTCACATTGGTAACACGCGCTATCACTCATGGTTTAAGAGCCTGGATCCTGGTCCAATCAGGGGTACCAGATTGACAGGAGGTTGAGAGGAGGGCAGCTTGGTGGACTTTGTGTGGGTGTCACCTATGTGGCTGGTGTCTGCCTCCTCCCTGGAGCCCAGGGGCTCAGAGCTGGGAGAGTCACTCTAAGGAGGGTGGGAACCCGGAGATCCGGGAACCTTGGTACCCGGACAGGCCGGACCGCGACACCGCGGAAACGAGCCGTTCCGGAATCCCGACATGGTGAGTGGGCCCGGCCTCCGAGTGGCGAGGGCTGCTCTGCAGCTGCGGCCCCGCTCCTGGTCTTTCCTGTTGTGATGGCTCTCTCGGTCCCCCAGCGAGGGGACAGGGCTGGT